GACCCACGGGACCGGGTGGGAGTGGGTTCGAGGGCCCCAGCACCCACTGAGCGCCCAGCAGCAAGTTTGCACCGGGCCTGGGCGCTGGACTGTTGGGCGTGTGGTTCTGGGTGGGAGAGTGCGGAGAGCCACCTGGGGTCCCGGTAACCAGGGGCAGGAGGGTTCCTGAGAAGACAGCCCCCTCCAGACCCCCACGCTCTCCTGGGCAGAGAGATGCAGGCCAGGGCGCAAGGGACCCCAGCCGCTGATCGCTCCCAGTTGGAGTCTGGCTCCTGCACCCACAGGCACCTGCTCCGTTGGTCGCTCTGGCGGGTCCTCTGGATCCTCTTGCAGCAGAGCCCCCAACTTCCTGGGGGCACAGCCTCGCCCCCAGCGCTTGGCTCCGGGGAGTTGGGACCTTTCTCCCCGGCTTCTGCGGGCGGGACCCGAATGGAGTCGGAGGCGGTCTGGACGGTGGGGACCGGCCACACGGGGCGGTGGGAAAGGGGGTGACATCCAGGCTGTGGGGTCTCATCCCTCCCTACTTATTTATTTATTTATTTCCCGGCGGATCTTGGGAGGGGTTGGCCGCAGGGCTGTGAGGAAGGGGCGGGAGGGCCCACACCTGGGGCGCGGTTTTGCCCGACGCGGGACAGCGTCCTTCGCAGGTTTCCGCGGCTGCGGGAGGGAGGTTGGTTTGGCTCTGGCGCCCAGTGAGGCTCTGTCCTCCTTCTCTGCCCCCAGCCTGGAGCCGGGGGGGAGGGTCGGGGCAACCAGGTGAACGTGGTGAGGGGATGCAGTGTTTGTGTGGGTTCAGCTGCTGTGCGCGGCTCTCTCCTCTCCCGAGATCTTTCCTGAAGGAGCAGGGAACCCTCACCCATGAGCACCCTGAAAAGTCCCTTGTGGACCCAGGGTTCCCCTGCCTGATTTCTGGGGGCCTGCAGTCCCAGGGAACCTACTGTTGAAGTGGCTATGGCTGTAAGGGAGGGCAAACCGCCTACTGTGTGCTCAGGCTTCCAAGCTTGAGCATGGGGATAGCAGATCCACTTGTCCAGTCCACTCACAAGTATCCGCAGCTGCCCAGACATGGGAGGGCATCGGCTTTCGCCTTGGTGGCTGCAGGCGGGGCCATGGGGCTGACGGCACAGGAGTCTCTTTCTCTCTGCCAGGGTGCTTAATTGTGCAGAATAATGAGGGCGACTGGGCGGTAGGTGCCCCAGGACTCACACATGCCTGGCCCCCAGGTGAGGGGACTCTTTTCCAGCCCTGCCTCTGAGTGCTCCTGGGGCAGGTTTCCCTTTGAGCTCAGTGTGCACCTCCTTTCACTGGGGACCATTTTGTAACGAACAGTTTCTGGCCTGAGGGACTGGCCTGTGCACCTGCTTGCTCATGGGCACAGGTCTAAACCTATTTCGGTTTCATTAAGTTGTAGCTGCAGGCTGGGCTACGGGCTTCCTGCCCTCGGGGGCGGCTGGTAAAAGAGCGTGCAGGGAAGGGGGTCTTGGGTCCTAGGGCCAGGATGGGAACATGACCCCAACTCCCTCCCATTCTGGGGGTGCTCCTGACCCTTGACCCGCCCCCTGCCTTGCAGAGATCCCACTGTGCGCTGGCTGTGACCAGCATATCCTGGACCGCTTCATTCTCAAGGCCCTGGACCGCCACTGGCACAGCAAGTGTCTCAAGTGCAGCGACTGCCACACACCACT